ATATAAATAATAGTATCAAATGAGAGAATCCACTCACCACAAATAATCATTATGAAAAAAGTATTACAAAAAAATTCATATATTCTAATGGAATATTGCTTGAAAAGTTATCAATAGAGATTCTTATTCTTCTGAACACAGTTCTTATATAAGTTAGTAAGTAATACATTGTACACACATATACAATAAATCTATATATCCTTTATAATGCTAGAGAATTAATAATAAATAAATTCTAAACGTTTTATAAATGTGTTATTTTGAAATTACAAGTAATTTTAAGATATTTTTTCTTTATTTTTTGAAAGGAAAATGTAACAACTGTATTTAGTAATAATTATGCATTCTCTCTTTCTAACATTTCCCTTCACGTTATAATTATGTACTTCAGTATTTTTGAAGCTTGCTTATATCATATTCCAAAATTCGAAAAATATTGCAATACATAAAACTCTTTCAATCTAGATCCTTATATAATACGTAATGTATACGCCCTTTCTTTATCAACACTTTTTAAAGGCCTGTATTAAAGTGTTATTCTTTGGCAGTATTGTTTTTTATATTCTATCTTAACTTTAAAAAAAAACTTTAAATAGTCACGATTTTAGTAAATTAAACATGTTATAGACAAATCTTGTAGTGTTGAATGATATGCATATCGGAAACGTATCAGTATGGTCATTTTATAAGAGCCAATTGAATGAAAACGTGAGATTCTCTTCGTATTCAACCGTAATCATTTAAATAATACAGAATAATTTAATTTAAAGCAAAATTTTATAATTTTCAATCTTTTGTCATAATCTATTTATGCATTTAAAAAATTACATTCTGTATATCTGATCTATTTACGTGAATTAACATTTTATGATAAATTCATATTTGATTAATATTTGTACACTGTTGCACGATTTTTTCGTCTTATATCAATGCATAAAGTTGAAAAATATATATTATATTGTTTTCTGATTGTCTAAGATATTCTTTTGTTTTTATTTATACTAAAAATGTCAAAAGTTTGAAATGAGAAGCATTAATATTTAAAAAATATACTAGTGTCTTTATATATATTTTACAACAGGGATGACAAGTAACGCGTTATTTTTCATTCTTGCTTCATATACAATATTATCAGAGATCAATACATCAGTTATCAAAAAATGTAAAACGAAAACGAGGACGCTACAATCTGTTCATTCGAATATTAGCAATTATAATTATTGCTAAATAATTCGTTAATGGTTAAGGCTCTTAGATTTTTTAAATGCCCTTTAAAAGGCACATTAAACTTTGTGTAATGTATGGCAGTATATTGATTTACATTATCATATAATTTATGGCAATATATCTTATCAATACAAAGAAAAATAATCGTAAAATCTTAAAATTGATACAGATATTTTGCGAAAGTAAATATATATACTATATATATAAAATAAATGTATTATTAATATTACTCAATACGTAACAAAATTGCATCTCTGGGTAGATCTTAGAAATGAATACTGCTTGTTAATTTATGTCATCGTTTGATGACAATAAAAAAAAAATTTTTATAAAAAATATTAATCTCTCTCAGCTTTATGTTTTTTACTGATGCTTACATCCATCTTTAACTCGCCGCTTGTGCTTCTCCTCTTGCACATTAGACGGTGATTGAGCTTGATTTCGTCGCTGGCCTTGAATCGGCATGTAACACGGTATATCATCTGCCATTAGCTCTTGTGGTGGCGTCGGTAAAACATAAGTGGGGCTTATTGTGCTGCTCGAGCTGCTCGAAAAAGTACCTCTATGCACACTGTAAGTAGGATCGATAATGGCTGCAACATTTGTCACTTCTCGCACATTGTCGGGGCTGTCTAACGTATGGATTTCCTCAGGATCCGAATAATGAGAATAATTGGCAGGATAACGGGTTCGATTCTTGTTTGACAAGGTCTTCAAGTCCAGTCTGTCTGGTCTTTGAGGTCGTTCTGTGAGATCCTGTTCATCAGCCTGTTGTTGCTGTTGTTGCAGACGTTCCCGTTCTAGTTTCTTTTGTTTCGCCCTTTCTCGCGCTTTACGAGCCTTTGCACGCTCCTTATCCTGAAGCATTCGTGCCAATTCAGCATCTTGCGCCTCCATCGCTAATTTTTGATCCAACATAAATTGCTCATCTTCCGGATCGTCGTGATTTTCTTCTTCTTTTTGTAGCTTTTTTGCCAGTTCCTATCATACAACAAAGTTTAACATTTATATTTTTATGC